GAATCCAACTCCATACCGAGAAAAGAGATCCTCTGCGTCGGGGAGAGTTTGCTCTTTTCCCAGTTGACCCGAAGGCCCAACAGGCTGAGGTGCCGAAGCGCCGGGTCCCTGTGTTTGCACAACTGATCCTGAGACTGTGCTAGTAGAAGCCAATCGTCTTGATAGTTGAGAACGCGAACACCCTGCTCTCTGAGGGGAACAAGAGCTGCCTCCGCGACCTTCGTAAAGACACAGGGAGAAGACGCACCCGAAGATGCGTTTCTGCTTCAACATCTTGAACGGTAGCCGATGAAGGGCCCGGTTCAAAACTCGCAGGTCCAAGATTGGCCGTAACCCACCGCCTTTCTTGGTTACAATGAAGTAAGGGCTGTAAAACCCCGACCTCATATCGGCTGGAGGGACCGGCTCTATCGCATCCTTCGCCAGTAGGACTGCGATCTCTGCCCGTAGAACAGGGGCATCGGCCGCCTTCACTGTAGTGAAGCGGATACCGCTGAACTTGGGCGGGCGCTGGGCGAACTGAATCGCATAGCCGAGGCTGATGGTTCGCAGAAGCCAGCGAGACGGGCTGGGTAGCGCTGACCAAACGCCCAGAAACCGTACAAGCGGGACCAGCGGGACCACAGCCGTACTCGCAGTGGGGCAGCGAGGTGGAACACAGGGACCCAGCTCGGGCGGCTTGTGAGCGGGCCGGAGAGGGGTGTGAGTGTGGGGTGCAAGGCTCACCTGGTTCCACGGGTTGGCAGAGGTTGCGTGAGTAGGGCCTTCATTATTTAAGTTTCATGTGTGTTACCGTGATGGTGTTTAGTGTTTGTGTGAATGACACTGTGCACCTTCTATATATGTTATTATTTAAAAGCTGCTTGCGATGGGCTTTGGTTCATCATGTGACTTTCTCATCACCAACTGCATTTGGTGGTTATCAGTGTATTAAAAAGGTACAAAACAGATTTCAGTACTTCAATATGTTGGTATATTAACATTATATCAGTTAATGAAATTACGGTATTTAACTGTAAATTTAAGTTAAAACCGTAAAACTTAAAACGTTGCTACCGTATTATTTTAATTTAAAGAATTTTTTTTACAGTGTATGAAAACAGACAAATCTGACCTCAGAATACTTTGTGAACAATGATGTCATTCATAAAGCATAAAGAGCAGTTGATTATGACAGACCAATGCCTACATACACTTCACAATTTTAGCTCTGACTCTCTCTGACAGTTGGTTTAAATTGCAGACAAATGCCTGAAATCAGAGGCAAATCTATGCTCGTTTGAGTGGATGATGGTCTCTTTTTTAAGACGCAGTTTAAGAGAAGCGCTGATGCCTTGCAGATGCCCAAGAGACTCCAAGTCCTGCAGTGGGATATATGTTTTGACTGGAAATGAAAGTTATGTAGTGTGGAAAAAAAAACAGTAATACGACGACTTTGAAACTAGTTTGTGGGCAGCATTGCACAATCCGTCCGACAGGAATGACCTTTGAGGTATTTATTTATTAAATGTTTTATTGAAGGGGTGAAATAAAGTTTTATAACTTTAATATATTCAATCTTTTTTGCCATCACAATTTCTGTCACCCCTTCTCTCTAGGGTTTAAAGCAGGGGTCACCAGACTCAGTCCTGGAGGGCCGGTGTCCTGCAGAGTTTAGATCCAACTTTCCTCAACACACTTGCCTGGAAGTTTCAAGCATACCTAATGAGACCTTGATTAGCTGATTCAGGTGTGTTTAATTAGGGTTGGAGCTAAACTCTGCAGGACACCGGCCCTCCAGGACTCAAATGTGAGTGTAAAACCTTTCACAATTTCAAATAAATGCTGTACCTTTGAGCCTTCTATTCATCTAAAAAAAAAATCCTGGAAAATGTATCATGGTTTCCACACACAAAATTTTTTTTTATAAATATAAATATATATATATACTGTATATAGTGAAAGTAAAAAAAAAACTATACATAATAGTTATTTGAAAAGTAGCAAAAATAAATGAGGCTAAGAAGTTTACCATTTTAACATAACCATCATATAATCAATATAAAACAATTAAATCTGTTTTTAATAAGACTCCACTCCCGGACATACTGTTAAAATGTCCCTAATTGAAAAAACTTCTGAATTGAAATTTGCATTAGTTTCTCTCTATAAGATTATTTGCAAAGAAACAAAGTGCACTCCAGTCCCACTGCCAATATGTATTCATTTTAATTTAGTTGTAATAAATACTTACTCTTAGTTACAACTAACCAAAACTAAACATCATTAGTGTTTTAATAAGCAAACACAAGCCTTTTTTTATCTTAAGAGTTGTCAGATTCAAACAGTTTTATGACAATGGCCTCGTGTGGCTGCATTTTTATTGACCTTAGAGACACGGGGCCACATCGGTCAAGACCTGTGCTGGTTACAAACACCCCACTTTCAGGTAGGCTGGGAGCCCAGTCTGGATCCAGAGTGTGAGGTTCAGACCCCAAATTAAACATGACCAGGAAGTGAACGCAGCCCCATGAGCGTAGGAAAGCTAAAGGAGGTGTGGCTGTAGAATTGAGGCCAGAGGATGACATGCTGTGATTGAAGGAAAGGAAGGTGAATTTGCCAAAGTGTAGAGCCTCTTCACGGGCACGCGACTGACTCAGAGAATGGAAGAGGGCTAGAGGCTGATTCAGCTGATCCAGATCCTGAGAATGTATTTGTAAATAAATAGAATTGTTGTACCATGCCATAATCATCCTGAATATTCAGATTCAAACAACCAGATTTTTATTTTTTTTTAATCATAAACTCTTAAAAATAAAGGTTCCAAAAGTGATGTGATAGAACAGGGCTGTCCAAACTCGGTCCTGGAGGGCCGGTGTCCTGCAGAGTTTAGCTCCAACTTGCCTCAACACACCTGACTGGAAGTTTCTATGGCTGTGTCCGAAATCGCCCCCTATACCCTCATTCACTATTCCCTACATTAGGTCACTAATTCAGTTCACTAGAAGGAGTGAATGAAAACGAGTAGTGAATTCGGACACTGAGTGCACCGGAAGGAATGCCGCTTTTGCATAGTTTGTGCTTGCTGTTTATTAATCATTTGAAACTAGCAAATTAGCAGCTCCAGTAGTAAGATTATAGGATTTATCTTGAACTCTGTCACGGAAATTATGTATAAACCCTAATCAAACAATTTAATAATCAATTTTACAATGAATGTATACCCGTGTTGTACATTATGCTTTATGCTATGGATGAGCGCTTTGTTATAAACGAACGGATTGATTATTCAGCTGCGGGCGCCATCTTCTGGCGAGATTCGGGAATTAATTCGCCGCGTGACTCTCACGGTGCATTATGGGCATTCTCTAGCCGTTGAGCGTGCACCAGTTGTACACTCGTTTTTGCAGTGCATTGTGGGATTGAATGACTGCACTCGAGAACGTCCACTATGGTTTCGGACACCACTAAAAATGGCTGTTCCCTCAAATAGTGCCCTATTTAAGGGTATAGGGGGCGATTTCGGACACAGCCTATGCCTAGTAAGAGCTTGATTAGCTGGTTCAGGTGTGTTTAATTAGGGTTGGATCTAAACTCTGCAGGACACAAGCTGTGTCTCATTTAGAAGGCTGCACCCTCCGGAGGTCGAATCCTCTGTAGGATGCATATACGAAGTGTCCTCAACCTAGAATTAAACGAGACGGCCTTCATAGGACAGGCGGAAAAGGAAACCGGAAGTATCACGTTGCTATGCCAACACATTTAGAGCATCGTTGCGCTCTCACACTACTTAAACAAAGGAAAATTATTTCTAAATTTGGAAAGTAATTTTAAAAAAAAAAGCTTTTACTTGTTTTATTTTGTTCAATGTTGAGGAACTGCAGCGTACGTACAGCAGACATCTATTAGAGAAAAAAAGGAGGAGGATATTAAAAACAAAGTTTATCTGTTTTTACCGAGGCGATTTAAGGTAAGTTGTAAACACCACATCTGCGCTTGTGTGTACGTTACATCTGCCGGCGCCGGCATTTTTCAAATTAACAACGGTTGTTCACGGCGACGCAAAGAATTGTGGGTTATCTGTAGCAGCGAAGGATACACCTCATGCATCCTCCGAATTCCTGAGAAAGAAGGTCACATTCGAAGGTCGCATTCGGAGTGTCCTACTTGCTTTTCTGAAATGAGACAGCCTCGATGACGTATGCAGCCTTCGAATGCGACCTCCGGAGGACGCAGCCTTCTAAATGAGACACAGCTACAGAGTTTGGACAGCCCTGTGATAGAACAACCATTTTGGGTTCACTTTTCAGTGAAAAGTTTTTTTCCCCTCAGTGTGAAGTACATAAACCTTTTTCCACTATAAAGAACCTTTTGTCCAATGGAAAGCTTCCATGGATGTTTAAGGTTCTTCATGGAATCAGAGATGCCAACTAAGAACCTTTATTTTTAATAAAGGGCCTTTCACACTTTAACTACAGCAATGGTACGTTGGAGATGGGTTTTCTCACCTGAACTGGATTGACCTCCTCTCCGTATTTGATGATGGGTGTTCCAGGTAAAGTCATGATCAGGACTAGAATTGCTCTCTGCAGCTCCCATGGTACTCCTCCACCCACCTATTATTGGCACAAACACATGTGACATTGCATACAAAGTATTCCTAAAAACTTGTCTTGTGAAAATGTAACCCAGATTGCATTAAATACAGCAATGATCAACATGGTTTGTGCCCAGAACAAAGTGTTTTATTCAATGAATTATTGGCCATGAGCATGAAGTCATCAAAATATAAAGTTTCAAAGCCTTCTGACCAATGAATTAAATAACTTTTCCATGACCTTTACACATGTTTGTAATTACTTGATGAAGATTTTCATTTGCATACACTCTTAAAAATAAAGGTGCTTCAAAAGGTTCTTCAAGCGATGCCATAGAAGAACCATTTTTGGTTCCACAAAGAACCATTCAGTCAAAGGTTCTTTAAAGAACCATCTCTTTCTTACCTTTTTATAATCTGAAGAACCTTCTTTCACCACAAAGAACCTTTTGTGAAACAGAAAGTTTCTTCAGATGTTAAAGGTTCTTTAAGGAACCATTTAGACAAAAAGTTTCTTCTATGGCATCGTGAAGCCCCTTTATTTTTAAGAGTGTATATACCTGGAAATCACAATTGAAGTCTCCCCTAATATTTCAATTTTTTTCATCATTATTTTTTACATTTCAATTTCTTTCTGTGTGCAAGTTTTAGCACTAAAACACGAATCAAACTATATTGGGCTTATTTACTGTAAATAAAGGTGTTCCAGTTTGATGCGTCACAAAAATGATACCTTGATCATGTTATTGCCAAATACATTTTTCTTCCAGATCAAAAAAACAAAAGCGAAAAAATAAAACAACAATAATCAAAGATTGTTTTGCATGTTAGCTTGCTCATTGTGCCCAAGAGCATGATCGATTTAAGTCCACATGTTGTACTAACAAAAAATTATGCTTCTAACCACAGGTTGAGAGCTGTAGTTCCGATCACTTAAGTCTGTGAATTTTTGTTGCTGTTATGGTTTCAGGAAATACCAAATCATTGAACTATGTTGATAATGACAGAACTTGTGCTCATAGTTGGCTAACAATGCTTTTGGACAACACACCCCTGAGCAGTCTGACAAAGCAGACCAAGTAGGACCAGCAAAACAGCTTAGGTTTCGGGAATCATTAAAAGAATCACTGTGCAAGATTCAGTCCCCTCTAGAATTCCATCCCCCTCCAATACCATACGATTTCACAAAGAAAAAATACACTAGCTTAGCAGGCTAAATGATTAGCATGCTGACTAGAGGATATAATGATGGAATGTTAGCCTAGCAGTCTTATGGCTAGCAATATTGGCTTTAATTCGATCATTTCATAAAATCTTTTGGGAATTTTGCTGTCGATAAACCATTAGAGTCAGTTCAGTGAAATGTCCACTCACAGTCCAGCTCGGCCAGTTTCCTTGTGGCATCTGCAGGCTGGCCTCCATGGCCTCAGCCACCTCAGCGGGAGACAACGGATGGTGTGATGGGGGGATCACTGACTTTGTAACCAGCTCCACCAGTGAACCATTAACAGCAATGCTGGACACATTGAGTGCTGGAAGAGTGTTACCTGTTTGCCACACCATCAATATTCTACAACGAGATAACAAGACCCCATTTATGTCTCCAAGACTTAAGCAAGCACAATTATTACACATATAGCACAATAATTAATAAACATTTGTCAAGTTCAGTGCATGGGCTTACAATGAATATGGAGTTAAACTCAATATAAACTTATGTTTATAATCTAGTTTACTTCCATTTTTCATCAAGACTTGATTTATCATTCAGGAATTGATTTTGCTTCATTGCCAGTGTAATGCCTGGATAAATCAGACACACAATTATTTGTTATATTTAACAAATAATCCAACAGACCCCCTCACCCAACAACCAGACTGGATTGAGCATGAGCTCTACTGATGCTGCTCTCGCTCAGAGAGTGTGCGCGCACTTAAAACGTGTCTCTCCTCTCACTCAAACTGTCCTGTGCACTCGCAAATCTCTCCAGGACATGATTTATTTAATAGCATGATTTATTTAAGTCCACATGTTGTACTAAAAAATTTTTTTTCTAACCATAGGTTGAGAGCTGTAGTTCCGACCACTCAAGTTTGTGAATTTTTGTTGCTATTATGGTTTCAAGAAACACCAAATTATTGAACTACACTGATAGTTATGCTGACACCTCAGCCAGACCAGATAAACTTTACGACCTAATGGCAAGAGACTCTTCCTCCTACTTAATTTCCTCTGAAACAGACACATACTGCTTATAGAAAAGGACTCCTTTCATTAATTCACAGACAAACCTTTCTATCATGCATATCCCCAGGTCATTGTGTCTAATATTACTGTTCTTGTATATTGTCTTTTTTATTGTATACTGTATTATGCATGCTTATGATAGAACCACTAGTTAATGTAACCTCACCTATATCATGTTTGGTATCTACAAATTCATATTTAAATGATCTAAATGAGTGTGTATATTGTAAGTTGATACCCATGCAACATATTAGTGTTTTAGGAATCTTTATTAGTTTTTGCATCAACACCCAATCCAGTTTCATATGCAAAATACCAAGTTCGAAGATAAAGAGTCTCTTTCCCTCTGAAAGTTTAAGTCACCATTGGCTCACCGACCCCCTAGAGGTGTGACCTCCATAGAAGTTAAAAGGCCTCACATCAGTGACCTTGCAATGCAAGTATCGTACATTTAACAAAACCCCGTTGTAAAAATGGCGCTGATGGTTTCACTCAGGTGGTTAACTCTGTGGTGATGTTACTGACCATTTCCTTGTATCGTGCATGCTGCGTATTACTAATATTAACTATATGGCTCTGCATTATCGCCTGGGCAGAACTATTGTTCCTGCCACCAAAGACAGATTCACAAATAACCGGTCTGATTTATCTCAACTGCTCTGTGTACCCATAAACACATATGAACTAGACGAAATGACTAGCAACATGGGCACTATCTTCTCTAATACATTAGAAGCTGTTGCCCCCATCAAAATGAAAAAGATTAGAGAAAAATGTACTGTGCCATGGTACAACAGTAATACCCATTCTCTCAAGAAAGAAACTCGTAGTCTTGAGCGCAAATGGAGAAAAACTAACTTGGAAGTTTTTAGAATTGCGTGGAAAAACAGTATGTCCAGCTATAGACAGGCTCTAAAAGCTGCCAGGGCTGAGCATATCCACAAACTCAAAGAAAATAACCAAAACAATCCAAGAGTTTTATATAACACAGTGGCTAGATTAACAAATAACCAGACGCCACCCGATCTAAATATTCCCTCACAGTTTAATAGTAATGACTTTATGAATTTCTTCACTGATAAAATAGATAACATCAGAAATACAGTAACAAGTGTAGATTCTACAGTGTATAATACTTCAGCTTCATTCATCGCACCAAAAGATAAACTGCAGTGCTTTACACCTAATGGCAAGAGACTCTTCCTCCTACTTAATTTCCTCTGAAACAGACACATACTGCTTATAGAAAAGGACTCCTTTCATTAATTCACAGACAAACCTTTCTATCATGCATATCCCCAGGTCATTGTGTCTAATATTACTGTTCTTGTATATTGTCTTTTTTATTGTATACTGTATTATGCATGCTTATGATAGAACCACTAGTTAATGTAACCTCACCTATATCATGTTTGGTATCTACAAATTCATATTTAAATGATCTAAATGAGTGTGTATATTGTAAGTTGATACCCATGCAACATATTAGTGTTTTAGGAATCTTTATTAGTTTTTGCATCAACACCCAATCCAGTTTCATATGCAAAATACCAAGTTCGAAGATAAAGAGTCTCTTTCCCTCTGAAAGTTTAAGTCACCATTGGCTCACCGACCCCCTAGAGGTGTGACCTCCATAGAAGTTAAAAGGCCTCACATCAGTGACCTTGCAATGCAAGTATCGTACATTTAACAAAACCCCGTTGTAAAAATGGCGCTGATGGTTTCACTCAGGTGGTTAACTCTGTGGTGATGTTACTGACCATTTCCTTGTATCGTGCATGCTGCGTATTACTAATATTAACTATATGGCTCTGCATTATCGCCTGGGCAGAACTATTGTTCCTGCCACCAAAGACAGATTCACAAATAACCGGTCTGATTTATCTCAACTGCTCTGTGTACCCATAAACACATATGAACTAGACGAAATGACTAGCAACATGGGCACTATCTTCTCTAATACATTAGAAGCTTGTCTTTAGGTCACGTCCCAAAACCATTCAAGCTGGCAGTTATTAAGCCTCTTATTAAGAAACCACAACTAGATCCTAGTAAACTGGCAAATTATAGACCTATTTCAAATCTTCCATTTATGTCTAACATTTTAGAAAATGTTGTGTCTGCTCAATTGTGCTCCTTCCTGCAAAAAAATGATCTCTATGAAGAATTTCAGTCAGGTTTCAGGC